TCAATCTTAAAATCTCAAATATTTTTTGACCCAGGATAGAGTTTGAGAATCTGGACAAGGATAAAGTATCAGATGCAGTAACCTTAACAAACTGACTGGCTCTACCTGATATTGCCATGACAATTTATTGTGGCATATATTCATTTTCATGCCCTAATATCTATGATGCTACACTAAGTAGAGATGTAAAGTTTGAACTTCAGACTAGAATGGTTTGCAATTGTTAAACCCTTCAATTTCAAATAGTTCCCATCCCAGTCTCCAATATATGTTACATAAGCACTTCATCGTCAAAATAGCTTCAAAATTTTTGTACTTCTTAATTTTTTTTTTTTTTTTGAAGGTGAAGTATTTGAAACAGGTTAGGACCAAAGAGCAAGAGGTAATAGCGTTGGAGAAAATTTACGGAGCAAAATCCAGACAACCAATATGTGGATTGAGGAAAAATTTAGCTCTCTAGTCTCAATCGGCATCACAATAAAATCTAAAACGCATTTTCGCTTTAACATGCATGCTAAACTCGTATATGTACCTCAACAGCTCATCAGTCGCAATGAAAATAATAATTCTCAAAATAATTCAATATTTTCTTACATACCGTGATAAAATTCATGCCCGCATTGCAGCTTCGCCCCTCGATCTATCCCCGCTGTCCGTTACCGCCTCGAGGCAAATCGAGCATGAAACCGACGATGCACCACCAGTGAGAGCCCTCCACCGCCTCCGTCATCCTAAAGATCGGCATCTTCCGAGCCCATATCTTCAATCAAAACCCTAAATTGTGGGCGAAAACATTTCAAAAAATCTCTGCCAAGTTACCCACACAAACACGAAAATCCAGTAATCGTTTCCTCCGCATTAACAATTACGGAAATTATCGAGAGCAAGAACCCTAAAAGCCCTGGAAAACGAGCGAATCCTTCGCAAAATCCAAGATAAAATAAGAACAGAGATCGTTTACAAAAAGGGGGAAAATCTGAAACCCTCTCTCACCCCCTCCCGCATCGCTCTTCTCCGAAGCGAGAATAACTCTTCTTACCCTTGCCCCGAACTATATAGTGA